AGTGTTACCAATCGCAATTTGTGGCGTCGGTGCCTTCTCATGTACTACGAGTTCTCTCGCGTTATCCCTCCCTCGCAGTGCATTTGCGACATGACTCATCCGCTCCGGAAAAAAATATTTTGCAAAGTCGTCAGAGTTAATGTCGTGCACGATTAGACGATGGAAAGCAGTAGTTGACCTATATCGTGTGAGGTTTTTTGTCACAGGTACCAGCGCTATTACCGAAGTACAGCGCCCAATCCTCTGGCATCAATCATGAATGTTTCTCACAATTTTATAAAAGAATTGTTGTAAAATTAGGGCTTGAATTCAAACTGCATATGTATATTCAATAATTGTTTGCTTTGGCGGAGTGGTGTAGCCACAAGTGATGCCTTTTCTTAAGCGAATGGTCCAAATCTCGGATCGGATCTCTCCTAAGCCAACCAAGCCTAAGCCCCCCATCCCATCTCCCAGGGTAATTCACATGGTTCCAGATTGTGTCTAGCAGAATGAACACCAAGCTGTGCATGACAGCCCCTAAAGTCAAGCTGTGGGATACACCTCACTCAAATGCCGCGAGGATTGGGAGTGAAAGTAAAATGCGTGGCGCATCCCTGAAGGGCCTCACTACCTATAAAAGCCTTTATGTAGGTAGGAGAAGAAATTTCCGAGATTCGAGGGGGAGGGTTGAACGAGAAAGATATGTGTATGCTCAAAGTTGAAATATTTCCAGGGCCCGCAGAAGCGGCCTTCGGACATGGTGCTGCTTGGAAATGCTTGGTGTTTGAGATAGAGCTTCGAGATAGAAATAGCACCTTTGCCCTTTTTCCATTCAAGTGGCCCGCTTCGATCAAATTTCGAGCCTGGGACAAACAATCACACAATGTCAATTTCGAACCATTAGTTTTCTTTCCTACCGTACGGACAGTACAACCATGATGCACAGTGGCCTTCAAACGGGCCCCACTCGATGAGAACTTGCCACTTATTTCGGTCAACGACACCTCCTAGAATGCATTTACAGCTCCACCGAAGCCGAACTCTACCTATCATTCTGTCTATGTTTCGCTCTGTTTGCAACTAATCAGTACTTTCTGGTGATTAGCATTACTCTTTATGGTTTGATTCTCTTTTCGTACTCCTAACTGCGTGTTCAAATATTTGCATAGGGTTTTTTTCAGACAGATGTCTGCATTTCCAGTCGATTCAATCTTTTGACCGCATGAGAGGCGAAGCTTTTCATGAAATCCTATCACCTTGACATTGAGCGCTTCTACGATCCTCAAAATTTGAATTTCGATTCCAGGTCCAGACAACCCCCGAAACTTTTCAAAAAATTTGTTGTTTACTGACAAGGCTGACGGAACTGATTAAGAATCCCATATATGATTCACTGGCGCCAATCCTGTGCTTCAACGAATGTGATCAAGACATTCTTAAGGAGGTGGCTTTGCAAGAAAGATCACAAAGACTAATTCCTGTCCACTTGCACAATCAAGAGACACCCAAAGACAACAAAACTGGCTCGTGATCACGGCTGAACCTGGGGTTGCTTTCGAAGAATAATTGGTGCCACTATTTAGGCGCTCACTACCTCGAGCTGAATTTTCCGTCTGTGCAGGGTGCAATCCTCTTAACGTTTCGTCACATGTGTACTTTTACCCTCATCATCGATCATATCGTTGCAGTAACGACTTCATTTAATTTCTGTAAACCGTTTAATTTGTAGACCTTGACGAATCATAGAAAGAGCCTAATATGGTAAAGCAATGGTATGCTGCGCCTCCCTTACAAGTCACGGTCAAATTATAAATACAGTTTCCTAACGTCCTTCTCGTTTTCATGATTGAAAACTACCGCTGAGCAGTCATTTATTATGACTAACTCGTTGCGGTCGGTGCTAATGTTCTTATTTTTAAATTTTTTGCCTGGTTACCATGACCCATCGCTGCCTCAATTCAACCAAATCTCATTGTATATCCTTTCCTGTTTGTTCTTTTTTCTTTGTGACTTTGACTTTATAAATCCAACGTCGAGTTCCAAGTTCAAAGCATACGATTTATATTATATTTTATATGTATGTACCAATATGACAGGTACCATAATATTAGGCAGCGTCCGCAGTCATGCACTACCACATACAGCCAGCTGTTTGTAAATTATGACATTAATACGTTTTCGAAAAATCCCAATTTCCCATTACTGCAACATAGTAGTTAGAGGCGGAAGTGGTGTAGTGGCAAGTGGCACGCTTACCACGCGAGCGGTCCGGGGATCAAATCCTGGGTCGTGAGTCGCCGGGCAACCAAGCCCTTCCATCCTCCGGGGTCGGTTAATTGGTACCAGACTTGTCTGGGAGGATAAAAAACACTGACTTGTACATCGGCTGGCCCCCGCAAGTCATTGTATAGGCCACATCGCATTCAAACGCCACTACGAATGTACAAATGGAAGTAGAATGCGTGCCGCATCCCAAAAAGGGATTGATCAACGGCAAATGCTTTATCCTTATCCTTTAACTAGTAGTTTTCTCAGCGCCATATTGGTATCGTGATAACTCATTGGGTTTGCGGTAACAAGGGGTTTATGGCCTTCATTTGGACGTTCAAAATTTTTCGGCTTCATCGCAGAAGGTTTCGTAGGCTTCAGCTGTTGGAAAATAGCCCCAAATTTGATAATGGGTATCTGTAAAGCTCATAAACTGGACCACCCCCTCGTTCGAATAAGGCTAGACGCCTAACTGCTTCTTCATGCGGTAGACTATTTACAAATGCCAAATTGCGCAAGAACAATACCTCAAATCAGAATAAACGAAACGCCTCGTTTACATCCATTCCGATGGTATTTGTACATGCTTAGCCTAACCTAAGCATTTTTTACGAATCTGTTGTTATCTGTAAATAACTATCATCATCGAAGCCTCCCGTCCTTTTAACCCTTTTATTTACGGACCTACTGGTCTTAGTCTCTGTAACTCCAACTTAAGAACTTCAGCCCGAAGCTCTTACTTAATTTCTTCAATCGATTCATCGTTGGATAGTTTCCTAGAAACATTAGCTCTGAATATGCAAACCCCTCGGAACCCGCTTTCAGAAAACGTCGTAATGGTATGGGGTCCGTCCACGACCCCATTGAGCACGACCAGTACACCATGTTTTCAGTGCTAATTTTTCCGATTTCGTCCACCTTGAAGGGCAATATGAAGTTTATTTTATGAAATGGAATGTGCTCTTTCATTTTAACTTGAGACCATTCGGTTCGAATTTAGCAGAGTGTGATTAAATCGGTTTGAATGTGGAGACAGAATGTCTTTTTTATTGCCCCCCCCTCTACATCCATACATACACACATAGTACGAACCGAAACACCAAGTCAGCGATTTATAAAACAAAAAGGATAGGAGAACTAAAGGAATGACGAACAGAAAAAAAAAACAGAACAGAAAAGGATTTGCAGTGAGCTCTGACTGAACTGAGGTAGCAGTGAGACACATAAACACTAAAAACACTAGAAAATAAAATTAGCACCACCCGGTGAGTACAGTCCTGTGTGAGTGTTACTGCTCAGCGAGTAGTTTCG